CCGCACCGAGGGCAAGCGGGTACCCGCGGCCGGGGGCGGCAGAAAGTCCGGGACCTGTGGGACGGATGGATGCTCTTTGTAACAAAGCTGTGCAGATGCGGGAGTAAAGTCCTTAAATGAAGTGTGCGACTAGGTTTTCCTATGGCCTTGTGTCATCCTTGCCTTTGCCTCAGTTTTCTGGACTCTGATAGAAAATGATAGTTGGAGATCAACATGCACTTCCTCGACATAGACGCTTATTTTACAGACTCGATTAATCCTGCATTTTAAAAAGTGGAAGTGCCTTTAGTTATTTTATTTACGTATTATTATTTTGCACAAGAATTATATTTTATAGATGAACATTTCTTCAGTTCTGTGTGTCATTATAAACCAAAAAATCACTTCAACTTCTGAATAAAAAGACCAGAAAAACTATAGCCTGAATTTGCCATTTCCAATGTACTTTGAGGTTTTCTTTTCTGTTATATTATGTTGTTGTCCAACGATTTCTGCAGACAATAGAATATTTGCTTTTGTCAATTATTATAGTTACCTGCAGTATATAGCAGAAAAAGTTTGCCTACTCTCAATTTGTCTTGTTTTGTAGATTTTTGGAATAGGACACTATTAGTTCCTAAGCTTGTAAATACATTTCATTTAAGCTACAACATTCTCTTTTAGGTGGGTTTGTGGTATGAATTTAATAAACCAGAGAGTTTGGGGGAGGGGTTTATGTGATGTCAAATGTCACAGAAGTTGACTATGAGTTTTTTCTCATCCATACCTTGTAGTTTGTGGGTTTTTTCTCTTAAATATGTGTTTACTGATGTACACAAAAAATATTTTGCAGTTCTGTTTTTGATAAAGGATCATTTCAAAACTATATATGCTTTTTAAAACCACAGTAGTGGAAAATGCAGTTGATCTTAGCAATATTGAAGTTGTTATTCCCTGCAGCTGAGGCTCCTTTCTTGCTCCTTAGTCTTGTTTACCCACCACCATCACCATTTCTATAATTTTTAAAAATTTTTTTCTTGCTTTTTCCCTGTACTCCTATAACTTTTGGCAAAAAGGCCAACAAAAGGTAATCAATAAGGTGCATACAGAAGGATATTTTTATTCTTACTGCATTGGATGAACTCCATGCCTTGCCAAAGTTGGTCGCAATAGTCCCACTGATTGAACAGGTAAGGTTTTAATCTTTGTTGTATATCTGAAGATTCCAAAGTTCTTCTGTAATTCTCCTCAGAATCTAGAGTAAATGAATTGATAGGAAAAGTAACATCACAACGTACAAAACTGTCCACTGGCTGAAAAGAGCCAACAAAAGCATAAGCAAGAAAGAAAGCATACAAGAATAGTTTGTTTCAGTGAACTTTATTCATTTGCAGCAGAGGGGATACTGCATTTAGTACCTAGGTGTCTTGTGTTCCTCTCACCGCACCTAGAAGAAACATGCTATTGATGAAAAAAAAAATTATTTCACTGATCCAAATGTTTGGGCCTATAGGGTCCAGTCTGACTCCTGCTGAAACTAGTGGTCTTCATAAAGCCCCTGTGCACACAGGTCAGGCACAAGCACAGGTGTCGCTGTGTTTTTTTCATAGCTCTAGTGGATTCTCCTACAGATAACTTTCTTTGAATATAATTTTGGAGTAGAAGCCACTAAATGAGAACAGCTTTCCTAAAGAGGAAAAAGTGACACACGTGTAAATTCTCTTAAAGGGAAAATTTTTAAACAGTAAATATTGTTCTGTATCTTGAAGAAAACACTCAAAGGCCCTAAGACCACTCCTTTAACATGTATGAACTCATCTGTTTGTCCTTTAAAGAGTAGTGCCCTTATTTTTCTTCACTACAGTAGCCGAGCACATGACATTTATCATATTTAGCTTCACAACAGTGTGACGTGGCAATTACTATTCCCATATAACAAATTAAGAATCTGACATAATAAGGATCAGAAATTAGTGTTTTCAAAGCCAAGGATTACACCTTAACTAAGGCTAGTTTGCTCTGTTTTAATTGCTATAAAGAATATGGAATAGATCAGTATACTTTATACATCACTCAAGATCATAGATAATGTGTATGTTATGCAGTACACACTACTAAGAAATCTTAGGAATTAGCTGTTT